TTTTTACTTTTTAGCTGGTGTAGTTTGGTTGTGATTTAAATTGTAATATAGGGACTACCCGCCGCGCCGCGTGGCGTCATGCGGGCAGATTCTGCCTACAACGTCACTTGTAATACAGTTTAGATACTCAAGTTTGGAGCTATACAGAAAAGTTACTAAACTAATTAGAAAAACACTGAGTAGCCTACATATAAATGTTCTTCGTTTTATTTTTTGTATTCATCTAAAAAAATTTTTTTTAGCTCTTTCACAAAAATTAATATGACAGTCAGAATATAAAGGAGAGTTGTATAAAGAGTTTCAGAAATTATCTTGTGACTTTCAAAATTCGTACATTGTAAACCAAACGCCAGAACTTTATGAAACTTTAATATGATATAGATACATATATTATAAATTATTTGTAGCTTTTCATAATTTTTCTTTCACCCAAAAGGTTTTTGTTGCTAATTTATGTAAACTAACTTTTTCTAAGAAATGGTAAACGCTAGAAAACAAATTAAAAGCGTATTTTGAAGGCCATTGCGTTAGTAATAGAATTATTTATAATACAAAGGTGTATTGTCACGGATATCATTGATATAAACTAACATTTTCTATTGGTCTTATGTGATCGTTGAGATTGGCACACTCAAACATTTCTATATGAGACACAGATCCAATAGGGTTTAGGTTCCACAATAGGATGAGAAGTTTACTTGCACTTTTAAAAGTCAATAAAAAGACCGCTTGTTCAAATAGTCTATTTAGATAAATATATCAGGCCTACTTTGAGAATACATTATAGTTAGTTTAAACTGCTGAGTTGTTTTAATACCCATTCACATAAGATCAATATTACTTTTTATGTCCTAATTTAGATTACATAAGATACAGCACCTATTCGATCGGTAGTAGTTTCTAAATGTTCTGCAATACCGTCTCAGTATTGCAGAACATTATTTATCAGAAAACAATTTATTATTTATTATTAACAATTATTAGATCAGTGGTGATCATCCAAATTTTTTTCCTTTGTACTGTATTTAGGTTGTTTAATGGCTTGATTTTAAACATATGCTATTTTACGATTCTTTGTTTAGTCTACGTTTATGTCGTTATTTTGAAACCATCATGGCAGCCCATAAGCCTAATGTTACAATGTTAAGTTACTTTTAAATTGGATACCATTATAAAATTGAAAGCTATCTTTTCAAGCCTTCCTTTTGTCAAAACAACCTTGGTAAGTTTGGCTAAACTATTCGGCCGTTATCGAGTGATATGCTAATGTAAGAAAGTTTGCATTGAAGCCGATCCCAAAGAGCTACGCTTCAATCCACTCAAAAAGTAGTTTATTTTTACAAATTTCATAAATTCACAATGAAATTAACAATTTTACTAAATCTAAAGAGGATATCAATATCATAATCCATTGCAGTTAATTTACCCTTCATTATGATAACACAGTAGAAAATTAGTATAACTGTTTTTAAAGGATTATTGTCATGACTATTTCTTTTTGTAAACATTGACACTATTTGTTGTACCTTTGTACAAATGTATAAATAAAGAATATTTGAATTGAATAGACAACACAATATTAACGTATTCCTATTTTGGTCTGAATTGAATCTATGTGATTTTAAGTTTGGTACAAACAGCTCCAAATAATAATTTTAGGCTACAACCCAGCCGAACTCACGGAAAATACATCAGTCTTCACTGGTCTGTACAAAATTTAAAATTTTCTTTTGAGGATCTTAAATCGAAAATTTGCAGCGGTTTCGTGAGGATTACAGCTACTTTCTAAGACTAGACTTAATAATGGTTAGGTAGTTCTAGACAGAAATAGCCTACACTAGCGCTAGAAGTACAGTTTCCCGGATCTTGGACTTGCCGTACTTAGCAACAACGACGGGCTACAGCTGTAATGTAATATTACAATGCATGACAATTGGGAACATGCAATTCAACGAAGCCGAATGTTTTTGGGACGAGTTTCAACGAGCAGCCTTACTAACTGTCCATGTTTATTATCCATTAGTCGATTGACGCTCGTTCTTACGGTTATTGTAAAAGAAATTGGCCATAATCTTTGTTAACTGCCTTCAATTATTCAATTTCTTACCACAGTCTAATACAGGATTTTCTTTAGCGAATTTCCCATAGGGAATAAGCTATTACCGAAGTACTCATGGTCAGACCTGGACCAGGGATCGATTTACTTTTTTGATTTGAGGTGCATAGATGCCAAAAACACCATCCGTTAAAATACATATATATAGGTATATACAGTGTGTAAATTAAGTATTGAAACAAATCTGTATTTTTAAAACCGAAATAGATAGAAATATTCTGTTTGTGGCAATAATCGTTAACAAAGGTTCCGCAATTTTTTACATCAACGATATTTTTAACCCCCCTAAAAAGGGGTGGTAGGGGGTGACCTATTTTTTTAAAATGGTAACCCCTATTGAGTGACCCCGCTTTTTGAAGGGTTTGTCAAAAGAAACATAATGACGCAAATCCGAGGTGAATATCCTACCTCTAGCCAAAATGACAGATACTCGAAAATGGGTGCTTTTTTACAAAAAATAAATTTTGGAATACCCGCCATTTAGGCTCGGGTTTGCGTCATTGTTTTTCTTTTAACAAACCCTTCAAAATTAGGGGTCACTCAATAGGGGTTGCTATTTGAAAAAAAAATAGTCACCCTCTACCCCCTACCCTGTTAGGGGGGTTAAACAATTGTTTATCTAAAAAACTGCGGAACCTTTGTTAACAATGATTACCACAAACAGAATATTTCTATCTATTTCGTTTTTAAAAATACAAAATACATTTCAATACTTAATTTACACACTGTATATAATGTTAGTCTGTTAGCAAGATAACTCGAGCGAAAATTATCCGATTTTTATGAAATTTGGTATTAACGCGTACACCAAAATTTATTTGAATGAGTTCGCAAACCAGCATGATCGGACTATGGGAACAGTGTTTATGTGGGGTTTTATGGGGTACAAGTTAGTTTTCCCATTTTTTACCCAAAAAACTTAAATTTTAGCAATTTCTTTCCAAACCATTTTGTAGAGCTTAAAAAAACAATTAATTTAGTATATTAGAACGTTATTATGCGCCTAATGGTTACGAAGGAAATTCCAAAACAAATTTAATTTAAAATTTCCATGTTATTCTTATGGAGAATAAAGTAAACTGTTGTAGTTTGCTTGTTTGTGAACATATTTTGATCAAACTTGGAAAATAAACTTCATATTAAAATTTCATAAAAAATCGTTGACAAAGTTTGTTCATATGGTTGCAAGATACCCTGTATAATAATAATACTAATATCAGAGTGCAAATGTGGAAACACAAGGAAGTGAGGAACATATTTGACAGGAAAGAGCATCCCTTATAGGTGATTGTAGCAAACGACCAATCTATTTCCAGCCCTGGTTGGCAACTAGGAGATCTGCTACCGATTTTCAGTTTGTAACAGTTTCGAAGGCAGTAATGCCTTTTATAATTGTGATTACGGTTTCGAGAGTATTTTTAGCATTCCAGATCCCCCACGAACGTCTCATATTTTACGCTTAAAATGTATCCATTCAGAAATGTAAAACTTTTAATACATGGTTTGAATGCTATTTAAATTTTTTACATTGCACTCTGTGTATACTATTTAGTATTTTGATATATTTTGAACAATTGGTAAAAAACAGTAAAATACAACATGAGAACAAAAGATGTAAACTAAAAATCTATGTTAAAATAGTCCATTTTTAGCTCATTTGCATTGCTGCCGTTTTATCGTGAATGAACAATAGCAAAAAAATTGTCTCCAAGCAAATTTTAATTCAATATTTAGATTTGGGGAAACTTTTCCAAGAAGCATTTACCATGATAGTAAATCGTAAACGGTTAGAAAATGGTACATTTTTGTTTGTAGTAATTTATTCGTAATATGGAAAACAATCTCCAGGTCCATAACATAATTGTCCTCTCAACCTTATAAAAGAATATAATTTAAATGTATTAAATTCAAAACAACACCAAAAGCTCTTAGGTTCTTGTCAATCATAAGAAGTTAGAATGATCGGATAATACATAAGACAACTTTACGCATTTTAATCTACAATAAATTTTCTTAAAAACATCACTTTGATGTTTGTTGGTTGGATATTAAAAGTTTAGCAAAAGAAAACTGTTTTATGAACACTAGTTAATAAAAATTGCACTATAATATGCAGTCAAATATAATTCAGAATGTTAATTTTCTTTGACATTTTTCAATATTCAAAATATACTCTTATATACTTGGAGTTAATCACGATAGGTACCTAGAAATAGTAGCAAATTATCAGGAGTTTGGGTAACACCACAAAATAGGAGTATCAAAACATCGATTAGCTTATTAAAATAATTTTGAAGACTCTGTGTGGATTTATTAGTTCCTAAAACTACCATAACTAAAGACGTATCAAGGTTTGTGTTCATTAAGCAATTAGATACAACAACTAATTAAGGGGTTGTTGTATCTAAGAACCTTCTTGAGAAACTGTTTAATGATAGACTTAGCCTGGCAGTCTGCCATTTAATTAAATCTCAAGTCCCAAAGAAAACATTGAATATACTATAAATTAATTATTGATCCGCTAACGAACTATATTCTTTTAGATGATATTATTGATTTAATTTTAAATGGAATTCTACAGGTTAACTTAAGGAGTTTGATAATTATTCACAAGGCCATTAAATGTAAACGGTCAGGTAAATTACAATGTGGTAAACATTTTTACAATGACTCAAAATTCGTGTTTCTGGCTCCCGGACTATTTTGTTAGGACAAAATCAGGTTTTACATATCAATGTCAATAGTCCTTAACTATGGAATATTTGACAGAGAGGTGTAAAAGCTGTTTTTTTTCTTTGAATGACTGGTGAAGGTGGTGATGATGAGGTTTAAACATAATTATGGTGTTCCAGTAATTTATAAGTTTCACATGCAACTGTTGTAGAAAGTCTGCACCGTGAGAGGATGGAAAGAAGGAGACCCACAGTATGAGAAGACCAAGGCGGTCCTGGGCAACGTATGGGTGGGTCTCAAGGAGAAAGCCGACAAAGACAACGATGGACAGGTATGTATAGAGGTTCAATTTTTCTTATGTATCTGTTATTAAAAAAATACCTAAATAAGTATTTTATTCTTTCAAAGTTGCTGTGCTTTAGTTCCTTAGCCTGACTATATCCACAAAGATTGTTCAATTTCCTGAACCTCAATGTATCGTCCTCTTTTTTGAGTTGTCCTTTGAACAAGACATCTTCTGATCAAGGAGGCGGGGTTCTATTCTAACCTGTCTGTCAATCTCCTAATTGCTCTGTATTTGTCAATGTAGCAAATTTGTCCTGATTTATCCATGACATATGATGAATCTATTACTTTAATTATACCTTGGATGACTGAAACGCATATTGTTTCTTGAGTCCCTACTGAAGCAAACTTGATGGGTTCTATGACATTCATCCTCTCTAAAAAATGGGTTAGAGAGAGTAGCTCTTATTGACTTTCTTCATTATAAATTTCTTTCCCAAATATGGGTTTAATTTATTCCTCATAGTTCACATAACACATTGATCATTGATTTATACCTGAAACCAGTAGTGGGGCGAGAACACTTTTGTCATTTCCAATGCTTTTTCCAAAACTCCAATATATTAATTGGCCAGTCATGTTCCCTCCAAGCCCATGCCAAAATTCTGGTAACAATTTAAGACTACACCACTACATGAAACTGAGAGAGAGAAGGATGGAAAGAGTGGGGGGGGGGATCACAGACGACTGTTTACTGTAGTGGAAAAAGACTGCATTGAGATAGATGAAGAAAGTGAATCAAAGATAGCTTGGAGCTACTCACCTAATGCAGGTATTTTGAGCATCTTATGGTGTTTATTTTGACTATAATTATTTTCTGGCCCCCTTACATTTACTATTTTGTGCTGTGGCAGGTGCCTACGTAACTACTATTTCAATGCATGGCCGAGGTGGATATAGTAAAAGAAAGAACTCAAATGGAAAATTCCTGGCTCATATTAAGAGTCAAGAGCACTTGGTGGTTTGTTTCATCCCCTATAGGATGTATGTTTACATTATATGTTGTATATTCATGTTGTATGTTGTATGTAGGTGACCTGTGAAGAGTGGTGCAAAATGTGGGAGGAGTACTGCAGGGACCCCACCTCTGTCTTGGACTGGCAAAATCAGTTCCGAGACTTCATGTTCGACCTCGAAGACACATCAGGTAGATTAGCTCTTCAATAAAATGTGTGTCATTTAAATGATTTGTTCAGTTGCTAGTCCGGTGGTTAGATTATGAGACTTGATATTGAGCCCCAGGTTTAAGTGTTGAAAATCACCACCGCTGCAAACTCAGTGCTTATTTCACTTTAAAATATTGTTCCACAATCAATAAAAAGATAATTCTAGTAGGTCTCTTAGATGAGAACTGTCTATCTAGGTATTACAGATCACAAAAAAAACCATTTAAGTTTTATTGAATTAGTTTCAATTGAGTGCTTTATTTTATTAATTTTACTTATCAAAATCTTATAGAAAATGCAAAACCAAGTAATTGTATACTAAACCATATATTAAACAGTTCTTTTTGACTCCCTAGGACCCTTTTGTGAATTTGCTCCTAGCATCCAGTAATAACATGGACCAAATATGTGTCTGTATGAACATATTTTTTACTAAATCCTAAATAGCTTAAGGTACATTCAACCCATGAAATCAAAACTGAGTGTAATCGTGCTTCAGAATATTTACGTATTAAATATCATGTGTTTGGCTTATACAATTTTGAAACATTCCAAACTAAAATACGGTAGTCCCTCGATAATCTACGACTTGAACAGTTTGGTAAACCAGACTTAGGAAAAGGCCGGACAAACAAGATAACATTTCAATTTGTGAATTAGAGTGACCATTGGGTGAATTTGAGACAACCTAAGGTAACAGCAAGACCTTGGAATTGCTTTGTTGTGAGTGAGTTAAAAGCTCACCTATGTGAGTTCTGTCTTTCTGTTTTTGAGGGAGGAAATCAACCCAAATTATTGGATCATGGTGGGCAGAATTATTAATGAACTACTATCAAACCATTGTAAAATTTAAAAGAATAAGGATTAAAGGACTTTTTTAACTAGAAAAATATTTTTACTCTATTGAGTGGTATAATACTGCATTCAAGTAGGAGAGTTGTGATATGTTATTAGTGTTCCAATTAGAACACTAATTGGAAGACGATGGTCTTAATACTCTGCTAGGTTAGGTCACAGTGGAACCATTAATTGACTCTTCTCATCAATCTTATACTCAATATTATTATATTAAAAGTCAACTCTCTTTTCCAACCAAATTAAGTTATTGTTGAAATAAGCTAATTATTTCTGTATTTAAAGGTATTGTTAAATGATTTTTGTGATTAATTTTTCAATTGTCTTACAATTTTGTCCCCACATTAAAAGTTCAAAATTAGACCCTTAAAAATTTATAAACTAAAATCTAACAATTTTTGTTTGTTTGAGTTTGCACTTAAAAATTGATATTGCATTGTGAAATTGACTATTAGATTTTGAAGTAGACACCCCATTATCATGGACCAGCCCTGACCAATTTTTTTAACCAATAAAAAAAAAACATATAGTTGAATGGCCCAATAATAAAGTCTGCCACAGTATCACAGTCTTATTTTCTCTTTTAGTTTTTTTTACTGAGATTGTTTATGTGATATAAAATATGATAATTTACAATAGGTCCTTTTAGTTTGGTTTGGTAAAAAATCATGTATATGTCAGAAACCAGAAGTTTATATCAGAACGCTCTATTGATCTAAATCTTCATTCTAAACCTGGTTACAGCTTGAACATGGGAATCGAACGTCTAGTTCTGGCACAGAGAAGTAAGGTACAGAGGAAACATTCAATGGTACACTTAAGTGGTGTCTACCACTAGTGCTGGTGTCTAGAGCAAAGCCCAACACTGCCCCTTCGCTTTCACACGCTCACGGTGGAGGAAGACCCAGTACCCTGTGCGATAGGGATTTCCGCACAGTGCTTGACGTCTGGGATTTTCCTTGCTAATCACAAGTATATTTCCTGGACAACCAACTAGAGCTGAAAGCACAAGTTTCCTCTGAACCTTAATTTTCTGTGTTTCTAGTCAAAGTTTGTAACTAAAATCTACTATTAAATAAATTAAATAATATCACTTTTCAGGCTACTTCCTTTTTTGTTGTTACTAATGAGTTTTAATGTACAGGGGATGGAACGATAGATGAGGAAGAATTCACCATGATCTGTGCCAGCTACAACATAACCCCTGAGGAGTCAAAAGATGCATTCAGCAAGTTTACAGCTGTGAGTCTATGATTTATTTATTTATTGTGATCCTTAACACTATTATAAACAATATATGTAAGGTTGGGAATCTTCAACTAAGAAAATTGCAAACTAAAAAATGTTAAAATTTAAAATAACAAAGCTATGCATAGCAAAATAAAGTATCTTCTCATCATCACCCATTATCTTCACAACAACCTTAATGTGTATTGGTTTTAATCATTCTGTCCTGTCATGACAGCTAAAAACTCAGCAGTGCTGTATAAATAGTTTACAAAAGGGCACTGGAGGAATGATATTTTTAAAAGATGATCTTGTTTCGGTGACTTTGATTCAACTTGGAAGATTATTGAACAAGCTGCAACTATTGAATGGGGATTTAAAAAAAATATGGTTTATGATTGTGATATTGCCAAAGGGTGGTGTTTCATGTGAAATGAATGTGCTGTTGATTATTTCTATAAAATATGCCTGAGTTTGGAAAAAAACGACATAATGCCGTGGAAAATATACACGGAAAGAAGATCATCAACTCTTTACAATGTCTCCTACACAAGTTGGTACACCAAGTTAGACATAATTCAAATGATCTTTTATCGCAAAAGAACACTCTGTTTGAATTACTAGAGTTGCCCTAAAACAAAATTCCACAACCACAAGACACCAAAGAATGGAAGTAGGCAAAGTAAGTTGTTTTAGTGTTTTAGAATCTACTTCCTCGGTCAGTAAGAGAATGGCATTAAATGCTTTGCCGAGTTTAGGAAGAAGTTTGCTGATATAATCACACCAAGGACTTTAATATAGAGACTGGTCTTTCGTTAGTGAAAGTTATCTGAATGTTTAATTTATTATCTATTTATATGCTTGTTTCAGGTGTTGGCTATATTTGTTTTTGTCTTGTTAGTCATATTTATACATTTATTCTTAATTTGTTATAGTCTATTGTGCTATTATCATTTCTTGTTAGTTATACTATTTATATATTTTTCATTTTCTGAGACTTAGATTAACTACCAGTGGTTTTCGATAATTTAATTTATGCATGTTAGTTCTCAATGGAACGTTAGGACACTCAAAGAACTGTGTTGATTGCTGATTAAACTTAACTTTATATTAATTAACTATAAATAGGCTATTTTTCATAATATGTTGGTGCAGACAAGCCTTGTATGGTTTTTGCACCTATTGTATAATATGCATGTATCCATTAATGTTCAATAAATAAATAGAAAGATTGATTGAAAGTAGGACGTCAATTAAAACTCTAAGAAATCTAGTTGAATCCCCAACTTTCAGATCTGTTGGCAAATATTAACAATCATTTTATGGAATCTTTTTATTATTTTTGTGAAAATTTAGTACTTGATTTAATTACATTTACGTTCGATCACAAAATTACAACAACCCTATTCCTTACATATTTTTTTTCAAATTTTAGTATTCCACTATCTGATGGGGTAAATTAGGGGGTTTTATTTGTTTATTTATCTACAAAGAACCATTTAACCAACATAATCCACTCCATTCTTCTTGATCTTGTAACCCTCTCTATTTCTACTATTCTATCTTAATCTGCCTTTTTCTTGATTTCACTGTTTTGGTTTTGGCCTTCCTTATAAACCTTTTAAATCCACACGTTACATCTAGATCCTACAAAATTCTGTTATTTCTATGGGTTATCTTCTCCTCCACTCTCCCTCGTCGAAGATTAACCCAGACTTTACGACTTCTTAATGTGCTAATGCAGGAAAGTTGACATTCACCCTCTCTGTTCTAGAACGGAACCATTGAGATCGACAGGGCAAAGTTCGGAGAACTTTGGAACGAGTACCTGACATCAGAAGACACGTCAGCACCAGGCAACTTCATATTTGGGGTGACTAAATTTGAATAGGCTGATAGACTGGACCACATCTAAAGAGATACCGTACATAGCTTGTAAGTCTTTCCAAAACTGGGATAGATAAGATGGCAACGTGGGATAAGACTGTCAGTGTATTAGGGAAGCACAGATCGAGACACGTTGGAGTGGGCCATTCAATGTTGAAATGGATAAGTATTCAATCGGTAAAAATTTAATTTTCCATTATTAAGTTTTGTTATTATTCTTAGGCTTTACTTTGCGAACCGGGAAGCTGTAAATTTTCCAACGACTCATAATACATTTCTTTTCGATTTTCGCAAATCAAAGCTAACGAATAATGATACTTTCCTTAAAAAATTCGCTTTCTTTCGTGAATGTTGATTTATGCTGTGTTTGCATTGTTTATTGCTTTTTATGATTGTTTATCTAGATATAAGTTTTCTATGGTAATCGCCTTCACTTACTATAAATACTCTCATTCCCTCAAATCACATCCTTATCACCTTCCATTAGTGCTTATTGTTGTTATATGTGTAATTTAAGTGGATATATTTGTTAAATAATCAACCATTCTTAATTTAAGCTGTCGATACACTTACCAATAACATCACGATTCACTGAAATTTGATAAAATATGTTATACTGCTGTTGACTAGTCTTCAAGGGTTACTGGTGAAATAGCTAAACTTACTGTGTTCATTGTATGGAACTATTCATAAATATATTGGCCAGACTAGTTGGAGTTTTATTGTGTAACCTTACAACTTCTATAAAATAAGGGAAATATTAATACATTCAAATGTGTCGCTAAAATGTGCATCTATTCATCTAAATTGAATCTTAAACAACTGTAGTCCTTTACAGCTGAGACTTAAAGTAAATCATGTGCAGAACTGAAACCTAAAACAATATAGACAGACATAAATACTAATAAATGTTCCACACTTAAAACATTTCCAAGAGAGCTGACTAATCTCCTGATGTTGGCAGAAAGCTTTTGTCAAATAAACCAACTGACCAATATCAAACATTATGAAAAATAAGGCCAATAATGTGGTAGCTATTTCAGTTTTTGAAAGAGCTGGAATACACTGCTGCTACACTGACTATGAATAAAACACAAAAAACATTGGACGTGAAAAAGAGAACTCTCATGTCTTTAATCTTCTTATAAAAACTTAAAAGTATAAGTTCACTTCTTTACCCCAAAGATTACATCGCTGTTTGTTCTGTAGAAAACTAGCGACTACAAGTGGAAAATGCAGTGGACACTATAAAGTGTGGCAATACCACATAACAAGTGTTAAAAATAGTAAGGCAAATTGTAAGTAAGGCGATAACTATTTACTACTAATTTCATGCACTACTGCTTCACTGCATTTAAGTCCTCATCTTTCAAACAAGCTGCTCTAGAGTTATAAAAAGATCTTTATGTTTGTTGAGTTGATGTAGATTCTGTTTCAAGAAACAATAGTTTTCACTTGTTTAAGTACATAGGACAAAAAGGTTATAGTTATTGTTTAAGGATTCTTAATGGGGATGTTAAATCTGCTATAGCTTGCATATTTATAAGAAAATATATCAAGTATATGACCAACAACAACCATTGATTTGGATACTTCAAATGAACTTCTTATCCTATCATAAATAAAACATGTTTCGAAGGCTGCTTAGTGTTTAATCTCAATGAGCCTGTTGATGAGGAATAAATATTTCCCTCTTATTTCAGGATTATTTGACCAAAAGGATCATTCATAATACCAAAGAGCATTAAATAAAAAGTTTACAGAAATATTTTATTTGGTAGACAAATTTAAAGGTGGTAAAGTTACAAGAAATGAATAGTAAACATTGCAACATTCTCTACCAATAGAAAATTATTTTTAAATAATTGTCTTCACACTTCAGCTGATCTCTATAGATAAGAGCTCTCTAAGAGAGTACTTTGACTATTCTTGTAATTTAGTCATATGGTTGTGATTCAGTCCATTTCAAATAATCTTGAACTATTTCACTGTCATAAATTGAAAACAGAAACCAAGATATAATATTTTACCACTGATTGAGATTGGTCCTAACTTCCTCCCCAAAATACTGAGAAAAGTAGTCCAGTTTTTATCACGAGTGAGAGTTTAATTTTTTCAGATAAAGTCACTTCCTTTAAACTTATTTCAGATCTAGTGAAATTCAGCCATTTTAAGTTACCTTTGTTAAAACAAGCATCGATAAAGCACAAATCACAGTGTAAAATGTAAGCTATTCCCAATCATTTAGTGATTTTACCTCTTCTTACATAACATTCCTCATAAATTTCATGTAGAGGAAAATATTGAATATCAACCATTTGTTGATCATGAAATTTCTTTCGATCATATCAATCCGGCTAAATAATATATGTACAAAACAATTTAATATCTAAGCTTGCATGTTAGCAAGATACTTTCATGAAGGACATGTTGATGATTTACAAGAGTCTAGGTAAAGGCAAACAAGATATGTTTGGTAACAGTCAAGATTTACAGTAACTACTTGTAAAGATAGCTAAAATGGGTAGTAAACCTGTCTAGTATAGCAATAATAAGAAAACTTCTTGGTTCAGTAAGATCGTTTCAGAAGTTTTATTTTCCTTATAGTTTCTATAGTTATTCTCTTTATAGTTATAATGTTTGTATGAAGTTTTTGACATGTCTCACATGTACCACTACTTTGTGTTATGAAGTTTAAGTTACACAACTACAAGTATGTCAGCAAATACCTTTATATATATTTTTTATATTTTTGAGTTACAATTACAGTTGTTTATTCAGGGTGGAGCAAGAAAAATTTGTTTTTAGAATATCAAAAGCCTAAACAACAGGAAATATGTCATCTGACCGAAGGTGTCCTAAGAAAAGTAAAAACCTTTGGTTTAGTTTAACATTTTCCAACAGTTAGATAGGACTTTTGGAAAAAGCAGAGTGGGATCGCCGTTATTTCCATGCTCTCCTGCCTCACTATACCACTTGTAAAAACGCCACAAAATGACAACAAAGTTATAGAAAGCGCTATGTGTTTCTTGTCAGATAAGATTCATGTAACAAAACAGAGTTCACATCTTTAGCCTAATTAATATGTCAATTATGCTGTCTAGGCATATTATGTATAAATATTAAAAGTAGGCATTTTTAAGGTTGGAGAATATTGCTTCTGTGTTTTTAATCTATTTTTTTTATCTGAGGTTCTCCTCGTCAGCAATTAAAATGTCCACGTGGGGAACCAAGAGTCGCAAATGAGAAACTACTGCAATGATTGAGTTTGCACAGAGCGAGAACCTCTGAACAGATCAATTAAACCAGAAATAAAACCACTCTTCCTTCTTTAGGGTGCGTTCACAAAGAAAGCTGGTTACAAGCCCTTGTTGGCAAGCGCTTGCAAGCTCGAACTGGCGTGAGAAAAGTCAACATAGTATCAAGCGTGTGTGTTCACAGACAAAGCTTGTGCCGGCTAGCAAGCGCTTGTTACAAGTTCTGACAAGCACGCAAGAACGTTTCGTACTTGTTTTCCGGCGCTCGTTGACCGAACCAGGCAGAAACAACTTAACAGTGCAGTATGGATGTCGATGAGTGTTGATAGCTCAAGTATTTAGAGCTTCAAATTTCCAAAAGTAATATATTACCCACATACCTACCTATTGTGGGTTTTCCCGAGAATGTTCAATAACGGTAACCAATAGGACAAATAACACATATATGTTGATCATAGACAAACACATTTAATTCAATATTAATTAAGTGTTGGATTTTTTATGGATAAAACCTGTATACTTTTACTTTATTTACCGAGAAAATTGAAACATTTGAATATATCTCACAATATTATTTGCATCATAATTAATCAGCTACATAGGGTGTTTAAAACTCCCTTCGAGTATTTTTTAGGTGTTATTATTGGCCCAAAATTCGTTCTGGTGCATGGATAGGTTGCTTATGCTAAATCTCCCAAAACTTCACTAAAACACTTTAAATTTTCTTGAGGATGTAATTAAACGTAGTTAACTCCTTTCTCATATAAGAAAAAAAACCCACTTTGTCCAGTTTCAATTGACGAAATAGATGGTGGTGGTATTCCCCGAACCTACCTCTTCCGCGGTTAATTGCATGAACACCTACTTTCCTTCTACGAATTTTTAATTCTACATTTTCAATCAAAAATAACTCTCCATCGCTTCAGGAAGATATTGTCTCAACCAGAGCTTAGACTACTGTGAGCTTGAAATGCAAGCGTTTTTTGTGAACACACAACAGCATTCTCAAGCGCTTGGAACAAGCGTTGAAAGTAAGTTACTTATAACCAGCTTTCTTTGTGAACGCACCCCTAAAACGTATACTTGTAGTAAAACGCAGGTCAGAGTGAGGCGAACCGGGTGACCACACTAGTCATCCCTTGAGTCTATTGTGCGCTCTTGGACAGAGTCGGCCTTAGGTAGCTCCTTACTACTGAAAACTTCTCCCCCCCCCCTCCCTAATCACCATATTGTTGCTCATGATGCTAAATCATTGCAGTTCCGGCAAGACTTTTAATATTTGTTGTGTGATTTTGAGAAAGTGCAAGCCCTCCGAGGTGTGTGGCACTGTGCAGCCGCACCTTTCGCACGTAATTCTTGTGTGTAACTGATTGTGTGAGAATATAATAATATATTTTGTTCTTATTGTTTACGCAATCGCCCGCGATTGTGTAGACGGTAACAAAATATATTATTATACTTTCGCACATGCCTAAGGCCCAAGTTCCCCAACAACTTTTTTTTACTTGTATGTTGCAGCTGATTAACGTTTTGGCAAACCTCAGCTGTTGAGCTATTGTTTTAAAGAATAGGATCAAGTGGAGATGATAGATTTCTTCCACTAAAACCGCCTAAATTTTGTGAATGGATTATAATACATTTCATAACTCTCCAAAGATAACTTTGTTCCCTAGGAAGAGAGGATAGGTTCATTGTTAAATTGGGATTTTATGACTTAGTGCCTTCAGGTTGTATGGCCACTGCACACAGTACAAGCTTAATGTGAGGCTGGTATTCTAGTATCGCTGGCTCTACCTAGGAAGCCAATGTGGGTAGCCCCACAGAGAAGTTGATTACAGAAGAAACATTGAATGCTACACTTAAGTGGTGTCTAGCAATAGTCCTTTTGTCTAGGGCAAAGTCCAACACCGCACCTCTTTTTTTAAAAAGCTTTATTTTGCTTTCATTGAATCCGCAATATCATTTGGCATAAGTGTTTATGGTGGAACATCAAAGAAAAATTTAGATAGAATTTTAATTTTGCAGAAAAGAGCAATAAGACTAATGTTAAATTTAAACTGGGATGTTTCCGTACGTGATCATTTCTTAGCCATCGGTATAATGACTGTGTACGGCATTTATGTTTTCCATACCGTTCTTTTAACTAAAAATCTTTTGTCTGAAAGTATGTTACCTAAACTAGGGGATAACCATGAATATGGCACCCGGCATAGAAACAAAATTGCTGTTGGTGCCCATAGATTGGAATTTTATAACAAAAAACCGTCATGTGCTGGAAGAAAATTTTTGGAAGGGCTTCCAGAGTGGTTGAGGAAAATTGAGGATTGTAAAAAATTTAAAACCCAGCTTAAAATATACTTAACACAAAAAGTACTGTATAATTTTGATGAACTGTACAGCTGATAATATGTTGTAAGTTTAGGTAGTTTAATTTTGACGCCATTCAATGCATACTTGTATGATTTATGAATAAAGTTATTTTCAATTCAATTCAATTCAATTCTTGGCCTCATGTACTACAACAACGCTCACGATGGAGGAAGACCCTATGCAATAGGAATTTGCGCACAGTGCTTTCCCCCGGGCTCTTCCTTGCTCGTCACAAGTATATTTCCAGCACAACATACTATAGCTGGAAGCGTACGGTCGTCCCATAAGCGAGTTTTCTCTGTACCTTACTTTTCTGTGATAGCCTCCAAAAGTCAAACCCATAAAAAGTGTTCCCAAAACTATATTCTACTGCTTTAGTCAAAAAATAAACTTATTACAACAAATGTCATTTGATAGTAGTGCATTCTTCCATGCAACCAATTGTTCTTGTTTGGATAGAACTATACATGTTTTGCATTATTATTTTTAAACATTAGGTATTGAAATAATAACAACAAATAACAATAAAATTATATTGTTTATCTACAACATGTATGTACAGAAAATAGTAAGAGAGCTCAAAATAATGGCACTACACTAACTATAGACTAAGAATGGATACAATTATCTGTATGGTTTAAAACCATTAAAATATTAGTTTTTGCCAGTTTTTATTTGTGTAACCTCATTATAGTAATGCCAGTAAAGGGATATGTGGTAAATTATAAATAATCACTAAGTAAAATAAATATGTGTGTAATTATGGGATTTGATCCACATGACTTTGTCTGTTGAACACCCTGTATATCAATATAAAGTAAAATAAGAATATGAAATGGTCCAGTTATATGAAAATTATTTCTATATTTTTTTTCTAACAATTCTGCCAAGATTTTAAATATGATGGCACTTTTAATATCAAAATAATAAGCATAGCTTTATTTTATTGCTAGACAACAAAGGTAAACTGATACAATTTCGAATATGATATGCATATCGATGAGCAATGATTATAAATAACATTGAAAACACTGATGAAATAAATACAAATAATATTAATTATATCCTTAAAAGTCGGTTGCATAGAATTAAAACACACTCTCATCACAATAAAACTGCAATCCACTTAAACATTTTCAACTTATAGTACTAATGACTAGTTCAACTTCAACCAAGGGGATTCAAAATAAACATAATTCAAAGGTTTTATAAAACTTATGCCACCATTGAACTACTTTGAAACATTAGATAACAGTAAAGAAAATAGTAAAACAGAGCGCCTCTAAGTAATAAAATCCTAAGTCATGCAAGGTTTTGTTGCTCACTTTAGTTCTTACAATATTTTCAATACTCCATCAATATGAAACCCCCTGAGGTAGCTAACTCTGTGGTACTATAACCTCCAGTGAATAACAGAGATCAGGACTAGAAGCAGGACTATGTGAAGGGAACACCCTGAGAACACCGAGTGTGTTCCACTGTCAGCGTGTTCCTGGACATTGTACCACACCGGACGTCCAGACAACGGCTGAATAGGACGAGCATTGTGTGTCATGAAGCCCTCCGATGATCTCAACTTGCGGAACGCACTGAGCTGTGGAAATGAAAAAGTACAAGGTAGTCTACAGTCAAAGTAGCTTGTAAAATCATAGTCTTTGCAAGGAAAGGTAAGGTGCAGAAAAAACATTCAATGGTACACGTAGGTGTCTAGCACTTTGTTGCTGGTGGCTAAGGAAAAGCGCAACGTCCCCTTTGCCCTCATGTAATACATCACTCACGGTGGAGGAAGACCCTGTGCGGTAGGAATTTCCCACAGTGCTCGCCGCTCAGGCTCTTGCTTGCTTGTCAAAAGTAAATTTCCAGCACAACATACTTAGAACTGAAAGAGTTTTCTCAGTAACATACTTATCTTACAGGTATTTTGGTACTATATTTCTAAATCCTTCAGTGTGTACCTATATTATAGTTTTCAGATCGTATGGCAATTATTAAGAAATGTTGATCTTATTAATGTTGCTTTATTGTCATAGGAGCCAAGGCACCCAGACAGCTACCCTGTACCTGAATTATTTAACCCGGGCCCCATGGTGTAGGCCGGAGCTTACACACCAACCTTAGATCCACCATGGGTGGATGACTTAAGGCGGTTTCACACTGGCGTCCGCGGACGATAATTTCGTCTGCGGACGGATGAAATGATTCGGATGGATGCTACGCGCCCCCTTCACATTGCGAGCTACGTTTCAAACGTCCACTCATTCGCGCATGCGCATAGGGAAGTTGGCCATTCCTACTACAATCATAGATTAAACATACTTCCTCTTACAACTCAGTGGAGGTGTGCAAACTGTCTGAGCCTTCTGTCCCATGGTGTCAACCCGGATTTTCTGTTCTGTGGCTTGATTCAAGTAGTGATGATAGTTTACGACGAGGTTGTACTTTTGTACTCATTATCAAAAAGGAGAAAGTGGGTTCATCCGATTAACAGAAAGCGGCAGCGATTTGGTGAATCATTGTAATAATGCAAATAATCATATTAATACAAATCATTGTAATAATGATTTACTGTACAGTAATTCGTATAAATATACATGGTTATTGGTTAAGATACGTACTATCTCTTTGGAGTTTAGTCGCAATTTCCAACCAAATTTTATCTTTCTCTTGTTGATCTCTATAAATTTCTATAGTTGTATGCTAGATAACTGGGTAGGCACGGACAGCCTCAATTAATTCAGCCATAACAAACAACAAGGGAGGACACGAAAGATGAACACTATGGCTGTAAACAGAAACTACTAAACACTGTGATGCGAGTGACACATGACTCGCTGAGAGCTACACGTGGTTTGGTGCTCTGTCTGCGCATGCGCGAGGGCGTGATCGTCCGCGGACGTTTTAGAAAAATCGCTCCCAGAGCGATTCCGCCAAATCGTCCACGGACGAATTTCTGCATCCGCGGATGGACGCTACGTTTCAATGGGCGGTGTGAACGGTCCCATCTGATAACATGGACTGCGATTTATTTTCGCATCCGTCCGCGGACGAAGAAATCGTCCGCGGATGCCAGTGTGAAACCGCCTTTAAGCTCATCAAGCTCACCGGCTGCTGAAGCACCCCTTCGGAAAGAGGGTTGCCCCTCAATCCTAACCAGGGATACCAGTTACTTATTCCTTACGTACACTCAAAATGAGTTCCACCCGGGCCGAAACCCTGATGGACCATTATGGAATGCCCTGAACGTAACACAGTGCAAGTTCACCCGGGACCTATCCAATCCCTGAGAGGCCGAAGCCCGCCATCAAAGCCAGGAGGAAGAGGACCGTCAGCAAGCCGACGGGGAACCCAAACCCCCTATTAACAGCATCCTCATTAACAGCATGAATGAAAATTCTATTTCAATCTGCTGAATGTGTAGTCAGTGATAGACATTCTCGGGTATTCAAAGAACCTATCGCCGCCTTTCCCTAAGCTACAGTATTAGATGATGGTATTCCTCAAACACTGTTCTCTTTTTGTCAATTGGATGTGCCCCCATTGACCCATGTGCCTCTTATTTATAAAACAGGTTTTTCCATAACAGACAATTATCAGATAGATGCAATATGTCCTGTGGGTCTGCACAGTTTCTCATCTTGAACTACTGATACCTACAAAGGGGGAAATTCGATGAGCAATTGCCTCTTCCCTTTGGCTCATGTGCCTCTTATTTATAAAAAGGTTTTTCCATAACAGACAATTATCAGATAGATGCAATATGTCCTGTGGGTCTGCACAGTTTCTCATCTTGAACTATTGACACCTACAAAGGGGGAAATTCGATGAGCAATAAGAAGATTGCCTCTTGTATCCTAACCCCCCTACCGCTTATGTGTTGCTCAGGTACCTCCTGACACTCACCGCTCTTATCGTACCTCAGGCCTAATACTTGACAGAGAGGTTGGATAAGCTCAACAGAGAAGTAATTTACAGAAAAGTGTTATTTTAAAGAGTAAAAGATAGCTGTGGTTAATTTAGTATTGTTTCCCTGATAAATGAAAAAAGATTATTATACTGTATTAAATTATAGTATTGTAATTCTCTTGTTACTCTGAGCCAATATTAAGTAAGCTTTTGTAACTATTGTCCTAAAGTAAAAATATAGTTATAGAGCAAACATTTATATCCCGATTTATTCAACGATTTCTATCCCTTAAAAGGTATTTGTAGAATATGTGCAGGGTTAAAAAGGGGTGCGGGATGGAGGTGCCAAACGGGATTTTTGGCTCTGACACCTGATATCTTTCATACTTCTTCTTTATAGAGAAAACTTACTCTATTTAATTAAATTATTTTTGCACAGTATTATGGCAAGGTTTAAAAACCCACTTAAACATGATATGTCAAAAGATACTCAGGATATAATGGGAAAATTCATGCGGGATGAAATGGGTTTTCCATTTCATCCCGCATGAATTTTCACTTTTTTTTGGTCATGTAGATACACTGTATATGAGGTATGTTGTTGTTTACCTGTTGGTGTGAGAGGTATATCGGATGTTTGAAGTCTATCCAGGTGACCACTTCCAGGCAAGGTGGTGTGGTCAGCGACCCCTTGTAGGTAAAGTATCGTTCCGTGTTGAAAGGCAGAAGAACGTTTAAGCTGAGACGCAAGTCCAAGTGTGTGCGAGTGTTCGGGAACTCAATCTCGGGAAACTTCCTAATGATTTCCGAGTAGACGACATTGTCATTGTTGGCATCATCCAGCTAAACACATCCAACAGGTCAAATAATGACGATTAAAAATTGAGTAGCCTACTAATATCAAATTAACAGTATCAGCAAGTCAGGACATAAGTTACTTTCTCCCATTAGCTTGACAACAACCTTTATAATAATAGGTAAACGTTGGTAGTACCTAAGTGTGTCATTTTATGGGTAAAAACACAAAAATTACAAAAACTTGACAATACTTTCTCCATAAACTATGTACCTATAGGGGAAGAAAGTAAAAGTAAACCATAGGAATTTCCGCACAGTGCTGGCCATTCGGGCTCTTCCTTGCTCGTCACAAGTATATTTCTGGCACAACATACTAGAGCTGAAAGTGCATAGTCGTCCCGTGAGCAAGTTTCCTCTGTGTACTTCTCTGTGATTTTTTTTCAAAAGGCTGTACTGAACAGATTAAGCGAAGTTAGGATTTATAAAGGCTTACTGTACCACCAAATAGACATATTAGAATAAACAATGATCCAAACTTATCATAGAACTGGTTAAAATATGTTTTAAAAATCTAACACAAAGGCCAACCTCATAAAATAGAGCGAGGACTAGTAACCCATCTTTGTATTCCATAGCCTTCTCCATGGTGGAATAGTCAGTCTTGTAAAACACCATATGAAGCTCCATGGGGTAGCTGGAACATCATTTATAATACAATACAGGGTGAACATCCCAGAAACTATAAGATTTAGAGAAAGTTTACGTTTACTGGGAAATATGATTGTGGTCATCCAGTGGTTTTTGTACCTAAATAATTTATAGAAATCTCAGTTTTTTTCAAAGCAACAGGGAATTTTGACCATTTCAAGGTCTTTCACGCCAAGCAAAAGTTTTAAACACACTATTAGTGCTTCCTTTGTTTTGTCTGTTTGTTTATTTTACAGTAGACCTCGTACAGTTACCATGACTGACAGAAACACAGGATATTATCTTTAAAAACGTGAAAAGCTTGGAAGTTTGAATTTAAATGTTAATCAATATAATATAGCAACTAAGTGACAAATATACTAACTTAATTTTTTACATTATTATTGGAGTGAAACATTCATATCTTAGTGTCTAAGATAGTCAAAGTAAGAGACAACAATGAATTGCCACTGATAAAAATTCTGAAATGTTCTCTCTCCTCCAAAAGTATGTTGAAATCAATCCAATCTTATTGACCAATCCAAACATCACATAATTACCTGTGATTGTTGATAGTATCTTCACTTCCATAACTGTCATTGTAGCCCCAATGAAAGTGCAGTTGGGCAAACTGATACTCTCCTGGTAGTGGACCACCTGACACAGTTACTGGAGTGCTGTGGTTGAACTGCAACATCACTGTAACACAACATCAACATCAAACTGATACTTTCCTGGTACAGTAGACTCCCTCTTATCCGTACACCTTTTAACCGGACATCGATTTAACCGGTCTACACCCGGCGGAAACAGCATCTCTTTAACCAGACAATTTTTATCACCACATCGGTATAACCGGACTAGATCAGCAGGAAGTGGGCGATACTGAAACGACTGTTCTCGTGGGAAATATTTGAGACCAGTGATCACCTCCGTTAAATAAAAATCCTCTCCTAAATTTAAGTAAAATACTGTATACAGTATGCATTTAAACGGTCGGTTTTAATGAGTTTTTGGGGACGTTGGTTTAACCAGAAAACCTGTTATCCGGACTGTCCACGGTCCCGAGGAGTCCGGATATGAGGGAGTCTACTGTAGTGGAAGTGGACCTTCTGACACAGTCACTGGAGTAACAACAAGACTCCTGACCCTAATGTATACCCTGCGAGGACCACAAGAACTTAAAAAAAAGTTACATTGTAAAACTTAACTTTGTATTTTAAAAGTAATTTGCACTCTGTGAATGGCTGAACTCAATAGCACCATTACTGGATACTGAAGATCAGCATATGTCGGTGGCTCACGTCAACTAAGATGATTTTGGTTATAAAACTGGCTACAAATTTAACATGTGGATGGAATGTCTAGTTAGTCAAAGATAGCACTCTTTTTCAATAAAAAAATGGCAACAGCTGGACCATGGATGAGATGTTTGCTTCAGTAACCAAAAGTCAATGATATTATATTTAAATAAAAATATTTTTCATTCAGTTAACTGACAAAGAGGGCTTCCTTGCACTGATTATAGCACTCAAAGTAACTAATAACTGCATTTATTTATTTGCTTTTGCCGCACTCATTTTTTTGCCACACTCCAGTATTTCAACCAAACGAAAAGACAGCGTATCCGAATTCCGATACCACTACCCAGAACAACTAAAATGGACAAGGAATGGAACTGGAAAGTGTGGATTCATCATACAGTACAAAATGTATATACATGAATAGTATTGTTACTTACTACCTAAATTAGCAATAAGAAACAGGTAATCATTAAAAAATACTATGCATTATTAAAAATTGAAATTACTAAAGTCTTCTATACTGTAATGTGCAATGTCAAGTAAGAATGCCTTCAGGTTTTTCCTAAGTTTTTGTTTTTTTTTAGTTTTTTTTTAAAAAAGGTAGGAAGTTTTCTAAAAAAAACTAAATAATTATTACCCCTTGTGTTATAATTATGCACAGGTAATTCTCGAGTCCCAGTACGGTAATATGGAAAAAATATTTAATTGTTTCAAAAATATATAAGGCGTGAACTGTAAAAATACCCATCCCTTTAAAACAAGATTTGACGAACTGGTCATATTTTAATTTATGTATCAATCTAATTTTTTTTTGTTTTTTTTTTGTATTTTCAAAATCATTTAAATTTATTTTTTTTGTCCCACCATTAACACTAATTCCATACTAAATATGTGATTCAATATGATCATGATATATCATTTGTGAAGGACTGATCCTTCACAAATACAGGGTGATTGATATAAGTGTGCCAGCCGTTTTATTCGAAAACCATAAGAGATATCAAAAAAAGTTAAATGGTAAGTGCCTTGGACTTTTTATTTAAAAAATTGTAGTAAAGTCGAAAAAATTATTTTAGCCGCCATTTTTCCAATATGGCCGCCAACTTTGATTTTTCTTATGGAACACCCTGTATTTTATGATGTATTCTGGTAGAAAATGTAATTTTAAGACGATTTTATACTTGTGATTTTTTTCATAAACCTAACCGTTTCAAAGATAATGGTTTAAGTTGTGAAATTTTGAATGGTTTTCGAATAAAAAAGCTGGCATGCTTGCTTAGGCCTGTATCGAAACTCTTTCTCATGCAAAAAATTTCAAAACTTTAACCATTATTATCTTTGAAACGGTTAGGTTTATGAAAAAAATCACAAGAATAAAATCGTCTTAAAATCACATTTTCTACCAGAATACATCATAAAATATAGGATGTAAGATAAAAAAACCAAAGTTGGCGGCCATATTGGAAAAATGGCGGCTAAAATATTTTTTTTAACTTGACTACAATTTTTTAAATAAAAAATCCAAGGTACTTACTATTTAACTTTTTTTATATCTCTTATAGTTTTCGAATAAAACGGCTGGCACACTTATATCAATCACCCTGTATATGACATTGTTTTTAGGACAAATATACCAGAATTTAGTTTTTTTTTTTTTTTTTTAAATACTCAACATGTTTATTCCAGCTTAAATCCTCATTTATTATTAAACTCAATAGTTTTGAGGTTTCAACTTGAGCAATGGAATTTATGGGGTGTTTTTAAAACATGGACAGAGAATTTAACATAAATTCTTCTCTATTTCCATTCTTTTGAGAAGTTTAATCAACGAAAATTTTTGAAGTGCTGGATTTACCACTAGGCCAATGGGCCGCGGCCTAGAAATGCGTTTTTTTAAAGAGCTTTTAGAATATATCTGAATTTTTTTTATAATTTACCACCATTAAATTATAAAAAAAATTCAGACATATTCTAAAAGCCATTACCATTACAAGTAATGTTGATTACGATTATGAGATGCTCCACAAGGGGCAGGGTCGCTCGGGTAAAATTTGTCCTATTGCCACAAGTACCCTAAATCCATATGTAAAACTTGATTTTCTGGTCCCTTGAACTTAAAACATTTAATTTCGCCTCCAATGAGAACTTATATGTATTACATTGTCATTGGAGAAGTTTCGTAAGCAGGAGTAATCATCTGTATATTGAGAAACATTGATTGTTGTGTAAATGATCTCACTTTAGATGAACCAGGTTGAGCATTAGTCAAGTAGTCAAGTGTTTCCTGGCCGAGTAATTTCCGTGACATTGTCAATGATATGAAATTACCGACACTTGACAGCAATGAGCATTGTTTGTTGAATAACCATGTTTTGTTCATCAGAAATGTATACTTTCCCTCTCATTTCCTATGTAAAAGGTGCTGTAAGTTATTGGACTTATCCATTATTGGACCAAAAACTTATCGATGAAGTATACAGAACTTTCACAAGACTGACAAGCTTAATAGAGAATTTAGAAAATGGGAAAAAAGTCGTACGGTTTATACTTTGTCGTAGGGTTTATACTTTGGCGTACATCAGGATTCCAACGAAACAACACAAAACAGCGTGGTTCTATTATAATAGAATATACACGGATATTAATCCGTGTACGCTTGGAAATAGGTTGGCAACACTTAAAGATAATATATTAAAATCCATATTTTTTTAGCCCCTGAGCTGTGATGTAACTAAAAAATTGTATTTACCTTTTGTCTACAGCTCAATAAGTTGTAACTTCCGTTACGGCCGTTTCGGCATTAACATGCCATCATCAGACGTCTTCGGCTGAAGCAGCGTCGTCACAGTAGAAACATATAACACGAACACGAACACATTTTACGAATACAAATATACAAAAATAAAACTAACAGGCCTGAGTCGGCATCTATCTCTGATCATGTCAACCGGTAACGTGTGTGCGACAGGCCTGTTAGTTTTATTTTTGTATATTTGTATTCGTAAAATGTGTTCGTGTTCGTGTTATGTGTTTCTACTGTGACGACGCTACTTCAGCCGAAGACGTCTGATGATGGCATTATAATGCCGAAACGGCCGTAACGGAAGTTACAACTTATTGAGCTGTAGACAAAAGGTAAATGCAATTTTTTAGTAAATATGATAATACTATTAGCAGCTGATTGACTACTATAAGTACGATTTAACCTGTCATTTCGTGTTTATAGTTTATGTTCTCTTTTCGGTATTTCTGAACTTTCTGGACTTTTCTTTTAAACGTTTTTAAAACATTCCTACGAGCTTAATAAACAAGAAAATACCTTTGAAGCATTTTTTAAGGCACGGAAACCACTTCAAATTACAAAAATATACAGAACTATTTTCTCAAGTCACGGAGCACATTGCTTGCCGAGGAAAAAATAGCGGAGTGATACGGACCGGGTACTACTTTCTCTAGGGCACCTATTTGTGTTGCCAGCCGAACCTAAAAACGTGTTGTATAGTATTTGAAAGACTAATTATTTATATGCTTTATAGTGACTGTAGGAAAAATATAATGTGTAACACGAGTGCAAAAGGCCTTTGCTGCACTCGAGATCATTCCGTTAAACGTTGCTCTCGTGTGACACAAATAACTATTGAATAACCGAAACTCGTAATTTAAAAGTACTAATTAATTTTTATATCGTTGCACTGATCAGTTCTGGCAAAGGATATAAACACTGATACTTTATAAACAGGAAAAAATAACTAGGTTTACAATGCAGTTGTCTGCTTGCAATATTGAGCGGAGCTAGCATATTAATCCAATACTTTTCTAAAGTCAATAGCTACATCTGTTTCTCGTAAATGATATTTATACTTGCAGTATCCAATGTCAATGGTACCTATATTTGGTTCACATAAATGGAATGTCTATTTCTAGTATCCAAAGTCAATTAGTCTGGTTCACGTAAATGGATTGTCTACTTGCAGGAACCAAAGTCTACGTTTCATTTGGTTCTCATAAATTAAATGTCCTTTTGCAGTATCCAATGTCAATGATATATTTGGTTCCCATAAATAGAATGCCTATTTGCAGTATCCAAAGTCAATGGTACGCCTAGTTTTCTTAAAAGAAATGCCTATTTACAGGTTCCTTAAGTCAATGGTACGTCTGGTTCACGTATAGTATACTTGCAATATCCAAACACAATGGTACATTCGGTTCCCGTAAGTGAATAATTGTCTACTTGCAGTATCCTAAATCAATAGTACACCTGCTTCAAATAAATGAGAAATCTACTTGCAGTATCCAAAGTCAATGGTCCATTTGATTCACATTCCTATTTGCAGTATCCAAACTCAATGGTATATTTGGTTCACATTAATGGAATTCCTAATTTCAGTACATATT